TTGTAAATCAAATTTCAGGCGTGTCAGTTATCGTAACCTCGCAACACATTCAAGTTGATACAAATGGTAATTGAAAAACTCCACAGTAGGCCGTATCCTCTTCTCACGACGAGTAACTGTTTGACGTAATTTGAGGCTACTATGAGAAATAACACCACTGTCAATCAATGTAAACAGGCCTGCATGACTTCCGTCGTGCTGTTCACTCACGGGTTCTTCCGAATCTCGATGGATACATGCTGCAAAGAACGCTCCAGTCGGCCTGGCCTATCGATTAAGAGAGCAATCCTCTTGCGGGCATACAAAGCCGTACTCCTCTGTAACGCCGAAATCTAGGCGTTCTGTTGGCCGTGAAGAAAGAAATTAAAAAATTTCAGTCGAAGAATCCTGCGGTCGAAATGGTCATAGGGAATCCCTGATGTGAAGCAGTTTTTCTACCTTCTAAGCCATCATACCGTATTTAATATCGCCATTGTAGAGTAAAATACCATGTCACGAAACGATACTAGAAGGTTACCGCGAAGAGGTAACTTGACGATCTTAGAACACAAATTGTCTTATATGTTGCTTTGGATCGACAGACCAATAATATACCTTTTAAGGTAGGCTTATAATTCTTGAAGGTGGGGGGACGCCGGTAGGTCAAAGGATTTAAAAGGAAACTTAGGACTGCATCTACTAGAAATGAGCTTTTCTTTTTTTACCCAATTAACCTAATTTCTTATTATTTATTTCATTCGAAGTCTGCATTTCATTCTTTAGACATCGTCACAAGCACCACAAGTACAGTGACACCAAACCGTTTTGTGTTAAAAGTCCTGCGCCGTAGTAGTAAAATTAGTCATACTTGAACAGGGGGAGGACGCGATATATAGGACTGTTCCTCAAGCTATAGCACAAATATACTGCAAGAATCGCTTCCTTTTGCTAATAAAGTACGCCCTCAGTCGTTAATTTCTTTTCCTCTATATAGGCAACTTTTAACTCGGAAACCGGCCAGTGGATGATCGGTGGGATGGGTGATCTTCACCTGGAGGTAGTCCTTTCGCGTTTGCGTCGCGAGTACAAGCTAGATGTTGCCATGGGTCCTCTCTTGACAACTTACAAGGAGATGCCCTTTGCTGCTGATCTCAATGGCCCGCAGACCCATATCAAGGGGGGATCAGCGAGGACAGCTGTCGTTAAAACTGGACAGGTTGCCTCCAGATCGCGTTCCCTACGCATAGAGGTCTCAGTAGAAGCTGGCAGCGGCGGTGGAGGAGGAGGTGCAGATCCTTCGGACAAGCCACGGGTACCTACCTCCTTGAGCTGCATATGAGTTGTCTCATATTTTCTAAGTTCTGCAAATATTCCCATTCTTAAGTTGAGAAGTCAA